TGCCCATCAACTGGAGACTGGATAAAGAAGATGTGGGTTGTTTTTTTTTTATAAAATAGAGTACTACTCATCCATAAAGAACAAGAAACTAGAGACATTTATAGCTAAGTGGATTCACATTGAGGTGATACTCTTAAGTGAAATAAATAGTACACACATGTGTAAATACCAAATAGTTTCTCTGGTGTGAAAAACTAAAAGTGTAAATAAGGATCAAAATGTATAACTGCTCTTGTGAAATAGGAAGAAAACATCTAAAGGAGTAGGGGAAGTAGGAGGGGTATGGGAAAGGAAAGAAAGGAAAAGAAAAAATATGAAAAACGGAAAAACATGGAAACAAAGTCTCTGTAAATAGGGAAGGGTGGAGGGGGTGAAGGGAGGGCAGGGGAATGGGGAAAAAATAAGAACCAAGATACATCATGCAAAGGTATAAGATCCTAATGATGAATGTAACTGTATTATACCTAAAATGTACCAATAAACAATGGGAAAAATAAATAAATAAACCTCTGCGAGCCATCTGAAAGGTCAGGGTCCCACAGCAGTGACACTGGACTCTCTCAGAAAAGCCACTCCTTGGGATCTGTACTGGGTTGGATGACATCACCCCCAAAATTCATGTCCACCCAGAACCTCAAGGCATGGCCTAATTTCGAAACAAGGTCTTTGCAGATGTAATTAGTTAAGGTCACACTGGGTGAGGCTGGGCCCCAAACCCAACCACTGGTAGCTTTATAAGGAAATCCAGAGACCCAGCCACAGACAGTCACAGGAGGATGCAGGGAGATCGGTGTGACACACTTACAAGCCAAGAACACAAGTACTCCAGCTGTCACTTGTGGCTTCTGGAGCCAGGACAGCACAAGTGTGACGGTGCCCTCAGTTCTTTGGGAAAGTACACCTGGGCCTCATCCCGGGGAGTGAGCCATGTGTCATCAGTGTCTATAAATTTCCTGCTTTAAAGACTCCTCTGTGTTTAAAAACTGTGCAGACTTGGTTTCCTATAGGAATCCCCTGGTGTCCATTGGGAATGCTCTGGGACCCCCAAGGATACTAAAATCCACAGACGGCCATGTTCCTTGTTTAAAACGATGTATTATTTGCATAAAACCTAAGTACATCCTCCTGCAAGCTTTTCATTGTGTCAGGGCAACATGGTGCCTCACACAGTGTAGGTGCTGTGTAAATAGTTGCTGCACTGTGTTGCTTAGGGAATGGTGACAAGACAAAAGATCTGTACGGGTTTGGTACGAGTGACTTTGTTCTGAATATTTTTCTATCTGAAAACCTAATGGGTCAATAGCTAAAAGTCCATAATCAATATTCTTAACACTGGCTCAAGGACATTATTGTTACTGATTGTGAGCTTTTCAGGGGTCCACTCAGTAGTGTAGATGTATTTTACTTGGTTGGATCCCACACATATCTAGTCATTAGTTCTATCATAATGTTCTATTCCCTGAGGCCAGGGATTTAGCTCAGTGGCACTGTGCCTGCCTCATAAGTGCATGGTCCTGAGTTCGATCCCTGGTACTGGAAGAAAAAAAATGTTCTACTCCAGAAAAAGATGCCATTGTCCTCTTCCTTGTCCTCTCCCCCAGGTTGGTCGACAATTTCTGCATTTGTGAAGGGTACAGCTTGCCTTGCTGTCTCATGTATGAGATTTATGTGGAGACCTGCAGACAGAATGCTCAGAACCAAGTCAACCCAGCAACGTTTGGGAAGGTAAACTGTGGCAATATCACAGTGCTGTGTCTATTACAGTCCTGTGTCACCTGGTGGTGGAGACACATTCAGAGAAATGCACTTTTAGGCAATTTCATCATTGTTCAAACATCATAGAGTCTACCTACTCGAAGTAAGGCAGCTACAGTGTCACTGAGTGCTATAAACTTGCAGGCCACCATTCTGTCGTCAACTAAAATGTCATCATGTGGTGCGTGACTATAATTAGGAACGTTCTGAAATGTATTTGGGTCTAATGGTTCCCAATGGGCATGCTGGGCTTCATTCTGGGAAGCCAACCAGACGGTCAAGTTCTTTCCTCTGCACCTCCATCTTCCCATACTCCATAGTGAGGGACCAGGAAGGATGAGGAGTGGATGGATGGCATCCGAAGGGTTATTACTATGGCAACTCCAAACACTTCTTAGAAAGCCAGGTTTGCTGGACTCTTGCTCCTGTCTAGAAATCCCAAAGCTCAGCACCACGCAAACTCCCAGGCACCCTGGTAGCCAGCAACAGAAGCTTCCCACAATTTGGCTGTATTTCAAGAACTCATGGACTCTTAAAGATTTCCTCTGGAGATTGTGACCCATTCTAGGTAGTTTGTTTAAGAGCATGGAATATGCACCAAACAGAAGCACAGCACAGAGTCTGAGAAGCTCTGCATCCAGCAGATAATGCTGGGGATACCACAGGGAACAAGATAGGTGAGCAACCCTGCCCTTAGTGAACTTAGATTCCAGTTCTCAAGCCCACCGGTGCAGGCAGGCAGTGTCAGTGTTGTTTTGTGGTAGGGAAAAGAAGCATAGAGGGACAGGACTCAAGGCAAGGGTCACCGCTAATCACAGTGTGGGCACAGCCAATCCAGCCTGCTAGGTAAGGTTCAGTCTGTTCCTGTGTAAAGCTCCCCAAAATGCCCCTGGGTTCAGAGACAGAGATTACTGCACACCCAGTGTGAGAACTCGTCTATAACACCATGGCTGCAAATGTTTTATGAAAACAAAGGCGGCTGCAGGGACACAAAGCTGAGCCAGGGGACAGTGCCAATGCCAGGGCCTGGGGCCTGGCAGGCAGAATGCAGGCTGGTGAGAATCTGTATCATCCGGAGCCTTGGTGCAGTTCACAGCTGTCCATCTTTATTGCTTTGGGTGGTCCCTGGCTGGGGCCTAAATGATTTGGGTGATAAGGGACTTGCCCACTGTGCCTGTTTGGTTTCCTCCCTTTTTCCCTCCCTTCCTTCCTTTCCCAGTGGTCCCCAGGTGGCCAGAATCCAATTGCTTAATGACACACTTTCATTACTGATGATTCATGGCCTGGTTGTTAAAAGAACTTAACTAGATAAGAACAGAAAAGAACTAGAGAAATTCATTTTAGCAACGTAATAACATTTGTCTGCCCTCCGCCCTAAATGCAGCAAGTTGCCTGTCCCCGATCCTGTCTCCCTCCCCCCACTGGTGGGAACCATCATCCTGGGCAAGGGTTTCTCTTGCCAGAGTGAGAGGGGTAGAGCTCGTGCTTAGCACACATGAGGTTCTGGGTTCACTCTCCAGCACCAAAATATAGAAATAAAAGGTTTAGAGCATTTATGTGTGTTGGCAAAAAGCCTATTTCTAATTTTTGTTGTTTAATTTTATTGAAAGGAGTCTTGCGTTGCTGCAATCATCGAACTTTTTCCACTTAGCATTGTATTAAGAGCTGTCTGGGTTCCTGTGACTGCTGTGTACTGTTTCAGTTTAAGCGTGCACTGTCCATGGGTGCGGGTTAGGGTTGTGTTCTGGCATTGCTGCTGTGAGTGCTAACGCACCTGTGTCTTCTGTCTGTGTGTGTGTCTGTGTGTGTGTGTGTGTCTGTTGTGAAGATCTTCTCCTGGCCATGAATGTCCTCGAGGGAACCTGCAGAACAGAGTGTGTGTGGCCAGCAACATCCAGGCCAACTGTCCCCATGGTGGTCTCTCCAGGTCACTCCTATAGCAACCGCATGGACACCATTTTTAACATCACAGCGTTAAATGAATGTTGATAAGCCTTCATCCAGTCTTCCAAACGAAGTCCACACCTCTGAAACTCGTGTCCTTAGTGGGAGCTCCAGGCTTATGATAATCAGACTGTGTGGTGGGATCTTCCCAAGAGGCTGAGACTCAAATATTTGAAACGCTTCCTGTCTCCCTGTCCTCCCCGCCCCACATGAGCACTTACTTGCCCTTCCCCTTCCTACCTGACCACTTCATTATGATTCTGGTATGTTGAGGTGGCCTGAAAGGTGACCCAAGGTGCCACCCAGGACCTCGGGGTGATCAGGGAGCAGGAGGACTTCCCTTTTTTTCTGTACTTGTTCCTCCTCCTCCTCCTCCTCTCCCTCCTCCTCCTTCTCTCCCTCCTCCTCCTCTACTTCTTCTTTTTGGTGGCTTCTATTGGCTTTTATTCTTCTATAACATAGCATTTTGTTGGTTTCACTGTAAGCTTGTGGTCCACAAAAATAACTCGAGTATTTTTTTCACATAAAGTTAAAGGAAGCTAGGCCTCCCCAAAACTGCTTTGTAAACTGCGACATACTCCAAAAGAACATTACTGTTGTCATTGGACTGTCAGGGCTGTGTAGCTGTCTGAACACAGGAGAAGCTGTCCCTTTGTCCTTTGTAGCTCACGCTTGTGCTTGACCCACAGCACTTGTCACCATCTCCTGGAATCCCTACCAGGTCACCCTTACAGCTCCCATGTTTGTGAGCAGGTCTCCTGGTCACTTCATTTTACTAGGTGACCCTCAGGAGGTTTTCCTGCTGCTGGGAGTACCCCACCGTTTTCTTCACCTCTCTGAATATGAGGCAACTTCACCCAAGGCCTGGCTGGGCTCCAGGCATCCTGGCACGACAACCTTTCCCTGTCTCCCACCTGCCCAACCTTCAGGGAAGGGAGTGACTTCAGCTGGGTGTGTTAGCGCTCTGTATGATCCCTGCTCCCTTTTATAAGACTCCAAAACCCCTTCTCCATATTGTTTTAAGATCTTGGAGCCAGGGGTTTAGCTGAGTTACAGCAGGGTGTGTGCTTGGCATGCACAGTCCCTCTTCCCCTGCAAGACAACAAAAGTGGGCCTTACCTAAGGCCATCTCAAACTAGAATATCCCAAAGGAAAAAAACAAGGAGACTGGTGCGAAGAGACTAGAACTCCTGCATTTATTTTGGATTTTCTCTTTTTTAACTTCAAAGAATTGATGTATTTGGATTATTTTTTAATGTTTATCTCTGTGAGCATACATTTGTGGTGCATAATGATCACATTCATCGTGGAGAGTTGGGACATGGACATCACACAGCTTAATTCTTTTTATATCCCCTTCCCCGTCTTCCCTCCCCACTCTCTCCATTTCTTGGTTCCTTTTCCTTTTGCAGAAGATCTAGCTCCCTGCTTTCTGTCATATGTCTTTTATTTTGCTTTATATGTATTTATACTTTGGATTTCTCTTATAAGACAAACCATAGGATGCTTAATATTTTGCATTTTTCACTCCATTTCTCCCTTAGACCCCGCTCCCTGCTCCCCAAGGCTCTAGCAGTGAGCTCCGCTCCAAGAGTCCCTTGGGCGCTGGGCCTGGCTCATGGAGCAGATACTGTGTGTGGAGATCTGTGACTAAGTGGAGAGAGGAAGGGGAAGAGGATATGATCCCAAGCATGTTTATAAGAGAGACAACAAAATACCCAGTCCTCACTTCCTGCCTCCTCCCCCGGGAACAGAGTTGGTTGGGCGCCGAGTTCCCTGCAGATGTGGAAATGGCTGGCGCTTTCTGGCAGCTGTGGATGGTGATGAGTGACGTGGTGACACTCACTCCTGGGACAAGCTATGCCTCCCATGGACAGCATGCTTTCGGAAGGTAGACTTCCTCTGTTGAAATAACATTTACTAATGTTTTTCTGATTAGGAAGGAATACATCCTCTTGGTAGGAAATGTGGAAATTAAAGAAAAGAGAATTGAAAAGGATAAAATAAATACTGTCTATAACCTCAGTGTGCAGTGATACAGCCGCATGTTGCTCACATGTATACTCATGCACACATGTGTGAGCAGCAGGAGCCAGGCAGGGATCACAGGCTTCATCGTCATCTTTATTTCCCATGTCCCTTTGGACGGCTGTCCCCTGCCCCATCTCCTTCCTGAATGAGCATGAGAGCCCCAGAGGATACCAAGTCCCTTTGTCATATTCACAAGTCCCTCTGTCACACTCTAGGACTCAACAGCAGCCACCTGGTGCTTAGGATCCCATCCCAGATAACATCGAAGTCTGGACGCCTTGAAAGTGGAGCCATTTCCATCTCCACCAGCTTGGTGTCTGGCCTTGGAGGACCTGGTGTGGCTGCTTTGCTGCCTCTGCCCCTGCTCCCCTGCGCTGTCTGACCTCAGTGTGGTGGGAAGCAGAGAAGAGTGGCTGGAAAATTGTTGTTCTCTGCTGGAGCTTTGGGAACAGCTGGACCTTGTCCCTGGGTGTCCACCTTGGTGTTCTGGTGTGTGTCCCTGAGCTTGCTGGTGGCGGTGACTTGCTGTCTGCCCATCCTGGCTCCAGACCATGCAGAGTCCAGGCTCCCACTCACCAGCTCTTTCTTGCATGTGGCCTACTTCAGGCCCAGATGGGATCCAGCCATTCCTGGCCTTCATAGACAGTGGGTCTGAGCCCAGAGCAGCAGGCTCCCTCTGCTCAGCCAGCCCTCCCTCCCCTCACTGTCTACTAGGAATCCAGGTCATGGCCAGATTCGACCACCAGGCTCACAGAGAACTCTCAAGTGACAGGGAACCCCCAGCTAGGCGGAGGTGTTGGGACCTCACCCCTGGTGCAGCACTGCACAGGGAAAGGCTGCCCTCACAGCAGAAAGTGCCTTACTCTGCTTCTTCTTTGACTCACCCTGGGTGCCTAGCCTTGAGGCCCTTTACGATTTAGAACCAAATTTTGGTCAACTGCTCCAGGACACCACTGTGTGTGACCCTTGTGCCTCAGCCTAAGTGAATGGACAAA